CTTCATCCCTCTTCCAGCCTCACTGGAATGTTTGCTTTCACTTCATGCTACCTACTCTCAGAAGCATGCGAACTATTAACCGAGGCTTCTATCCATTTGGAGTTTCACGCAGCAAATGGATGCTTTCAAACCCTTGTGGCCTTTCTGGCCACATAAAAAGGTGGCAGATGCAAGCAGCAGATGTTCCTCTCCCTTTTCTTGGATTCTGGGGCCTGGCTGTCCTGGTGAGCCTGTAGCCCAGTTTTCTCCATCACACAGCCTCTGTTCCTGGAAGGTGTCCACTGAGTGGATCAGGGATGCAAGAACCACGTTCTTCAGATGGCTCTTCATGCATGGGGTCATGGAAGTGCTCAGGAAGTCTGCTTTCTGGGGACCAGCTCGGAGTCTCACATGGTTGTCACATTCTATGTAGGAGACCAATAAGAGTTCTATCAGTGCCCAGAGCAGCAGCACACAGAGGATCCATCCAGGTCCCAATGCATTTCCCATTCACGTGCTGTAAGCCCAGTGAATTAAAATGTGCAGCAGCCTTGGGAATAGTCAGTGACATGACCTCAGCCGTCCCAAATGTCATACCAGGTCAAGAATTCTGTGCCATGCCCAGTAAGAAGCCCAACTCATTGTTCTTTTTTTTTTTTAATTTTATTTCCTCTTTTACAAAATTTATTTATTTACTTGAAAGTCAAAGTTACACAAAAAGAGAAAGAGAGGCAGAGAGAGAGAGAAAGAGAGGTCTTCCATGCACTGGTTCACTCCCCAATTCACCGCAACAGCCGGAGCTGTGCCAATCCAAAGCCAGGTGCCAGTAGCTTCCTCTGGGCCTCCCAGGCAAGTATAGGGGCCCAAGCACCTGAGCCATCCTCCACTGCCCTCCCAGGCCACAGCAGAGAGCTGGATGGGAAGTGGAGCAGCCAGGACTCGATCCAGTGCCCATACAGGATGCTGGCACTGCAGGCGATGGCCCTATCTGCTATGCCATAGAGCCAGCCCCCCATCTCAGAGTTAAGTGTAATTCCTACCACTCAGCATGTGCCCATTGAATGACCTTTAGACTTAGCAAGTGACACACCTAGGAGACTCTCTCCTCCACATAACCTGCTTTTTAGAGAGAACCAGAACTTCCCCTATGACCTCCTGATGAGCTTTAGCCCCACTTCCAGCCTCACCACAGGCTCCAGGAATCTTTAAAAACCTTCATAATATCATTTTATCAAAACCAGTAACTTGGTGCAAACTTGAAGACAGCCAGAAAATACAAAACTCCAATACCAATATAAACAAAGTTTATTTTATTTTGAAATTTCTTCTTTGTATTTCTGAAAATAGGATTCAATAAATATTCATTATGAAACAAAAAATACAAATAGTACAGACAGACATCTACTAAGCATAAAGCAAAATTCCCTATTCCTCTTCCTCTCCTTCTCATCTCCCATCAATTTCTCTTATAAGAATTAGCCACTGTTCAGCCTTTCAGGTATGTTCCATGCATTGCTCACACACTGGATTACATGCACATAATTCTTACTTTTTACACCTGGCGAATAACACGGATGCAGTCTTCTAAAACATACCTTTCCATTTAATATAATCACATGTCCATGTGCATACATATGTTCTTCTTTCGTTTTATTATTCAACAGTACAGGGGGACTATTATTTATTAAGACATACTCTAGTGATAATAATTAAGTCATTTCTGCTTTTTTCTTCAGGATAAACACAGTAGAAATCTTTCCATTGCTTTGGGAAAAGCACCAATTGACTTCACTGTAAAAGATCCAGGAGACAGGAGGTTGCCAAAGTAAGTTATAGGTCTCTCCTATCTGTTCAGGATAGGAGTGCCTCCTCTCATTTGGTTCCTCTGTCTCACAGCAGGTAAGCCTGGAATCCAGTCATTGGCATGTTCTCTAATTCTAGGTGTTGCCAACTACTCCCAGGCTGCCAGATGTGAAGACCTGCCCTCAGTGCCCATGGGATCAGGCTCCACCCACACAGAATCAAGCTTCACTCACATGTGAACATGCTTGGCTCACACGGGACCAGGCTTCACCCACATGGGACCAGGCTTCATTCACATGTGAACATGCTTGGCTCACATGGGGCCAGGCTTCACCCACATGTGAACATGCTTGGCTCACACGGGACCAGGCTTCACTCACATGTGAACATGCTTGGCTCACACGGGACCAGGCTTCACTCACATGTGAACATGCTTGGCTCACATGGGATCAGGCTTCACTCACAAGTGAACATGCTTGGCTCACATGGGATCAGGCTTCACTCACATGTGAACATGCTTGGCTCACATGGGATCAGGCTTCACTCACATGTGAACAAGCTTGGCTCACATGGATCAGGTTTCACCCACATGGGATCAGGCTTCACTCACATGTGAACATGCTTGGCTCACATGGGATCAGGTTTCACCCACATGGGACCAGGCTTCACTCACATGTGAACCTCCTTGGTTCACATGACAATCAGGCTCTGCAGTATTTCTGCTTCCACTGCCTCCATGCCTGACTCCAGGGATCCCTGGGTTTGGGGCTCCCTAAGTGAGCACAAAGTCACCAGTCAAACCCAGTTCCTAGAGACTATTCTTTCTATCTGTCCCATAGGCTTCTGTGTTGGTCCTTGGATCTTCTGTTAGTTCCCCACTTGGAATGGATCCCAACTGGCCAGGCCTCTTCCCTCATCTTCCTGCTCCCTCCAGCCCTTCCTCCCCAGCCTACTTCTCTCTAGCTCGCCCACTTCAGTGCCAGCATCACCACTGATGGTGGTGGTGAGATTCTCATCACAGCTCCCTCACTTCCCTGTGTTCTGTGCTGACCTATGTCAGATTCACCTCGTGCTGACTACTCTTGCTTTTCTCAAAGTCACCCAGGAATCCCTCTGCCAGCTGGCACTCTCTTCTCTCTGGCTATCTCATGATCAGCCTCATCCCGCGTTTCATTCATCTATTCAACAAATATTGATCATCTGCCACTAGACGCCATCACATTTCCTTCCAAACTGCAGACTTCCTAGAATAGCTTACACATCGGGCTCTGTATTTCTATTGTACTATGCGTGGCAAGTTACTGAAATTTCATAAATGTATGCTATAGAATGGATAGCATTCAGTGCTTTTTCTGGAAGTTACCATCATAGTGCCCTATTCCCATCCCACTGACACTGCCTAACAACAGACAGCATTTACTAAGGACTTGACAGGGTTGGCCTAAGAAGCATGTATGTATTGATAATCCTCACCTCAGCAACCCTGGGAGACAAGTACTGCCATCTTCCACAGTTGAGAACTGGTGGTTCCCTAAGTCACACGAGTTCACCCAGGCTAGAATTAACACAGCCAGGATCCATATCCAGGCATCTGACACCCAGGCCTGCACCATTAATAACCATGGTATTCTGTCTCTCCTTGGCAGCTTTCCACATCAGTTCCTTGAGCAGAGGCCAAAAAAATTGATCAGTGATAGCTTCAGGGTAGTCTGACAGATGAAGGGGCCAGGACCTACAGTGAGAGAAACAACCCCAGGCTGTGGCCAAAGGGACATCTTAGCAGGTTCAGTGATCACCAGGCAGTGGATACCACTGTGCCCACTATGTGAGGCGGGAGGTACTCAGAGGCCAGTGTAGAGGGCATGGAGCCTCTGAGACAGCTACATGCCGTCTGCCCCATCCTGTTGATAAGGGGTGGCCAGCCAGACTTCTTCAACCAACCCCGGTCATCTCCACACTTCTCTGCATTGGTGGTGAAGAGCTCATCATGAGAATTCAGGATACAGACTCTGGGGTCAGAATGGGGTCCATCCAAACCCTGGTTAACACACTTCCTAGATGTGCGACCTTGGGATAAGTTAGTAAAAGCAGCTATGCCTCTATTTCCTCGTGTATAAAAGGGTGGAGATGATAGTATCAGACAGTTGTTGTGAACGCCTACACCATGGAATTTGTATAAAACACTTAAAGGATGGGATCGGTGCTGTGGCGTATTGGGTAAAGCCACCCCTTACAGTGTCTGTACCCTATATAGGCGCTGGTTCAAGTCCTGGTTGTTCCACTTCCGATCTAGCTCTCTGCTGTGGCCTGGGAAAGCAGAAGATGGCCCAAGTCATTGGGCCCCTGCACCCACGTGGGAGACCTGGAGGAAGCTCCAGGCTCCTGGCTTCAGGTTAGTCCAGCTCTGACCACTAAAGCCATTTGGGAAGTTAACCAGCAGATGGAAGACCATTCCTGGGAAGGTGTGCACCTCTAGGGCTCCCATACACGGGTGAGGAGTTAGTACTGTGCTAGCCTGTCCCCCCTTCTGTCACAGGGGAGCAAGCAGATGCCTTGGCACACTGTGTTACTTGTTTCAGGTCACAGAAAAGTGGAGAAGAGCTCTGAATCTGCTTTCTACCCAACACTGCTCTGGCTGGGAGAAATTCTGAATGTGGCCAGTTGAGCTAATTCATTTGGCAAATTGTTTCAGACACTTGAGCCATTTATACAAAACTAAAGATGAATGACTTCTAATCAAATGCAAGATGACATGGTATGAAATCGCCAAGGGGCAGGTCTGCTGCAGCCTTGAGTGCTCAATGGCTGGGACGACGGACGGACGGCTCCTCACTTTGACCACAAGAAGCATGACATTTGTTAGGTAACTTATTTTATATGCCAACGCTTCGAACAGTAAGAAATAAGTAGAAAGGCAATCTGTTCTTCTCTCAGGAATTGTTACATAAAAAAGGAGAAACACATCCCAACTGCACGTCCACTCTCCAGATGGCAAACACGGTGCTCCTGAGTAATGGCATCCATCTTCTTTCAATTACCAGACTGGGGCACAGCCACCTCATGAGCATCTGGGGCAAGTGTCCCTGCCATGCTGCTTTCTTGCCCCTGGAGTCCCTCAAGGACTCAGGCAAAATGCTAACAGATTTGACCAGCAGCAGGAGCACAGTGTGTATAGTAACGAGTGTGGTTCCTGGGAAGAGACCCAACGGCCTACTTACGGATGGAGCTCTGCCTCTCAGCAACTGCGCAGCCTCGACGCCCTGTCCTTCAGAGGGGGAGAACAGTTGCCCACGTTACAACCTGCGAGGATTAAACAAGACGAGGCTTGAGACAGTGTTGCTGTGGCTGACACATAACAGGGGCTTATATTTTTTTTTAATTGAAAAGCGTACAGCAAATTATTTTATTTTCTCTAAAGGTAATCTAAGGCAAGCTGTTCCTTTTCATATTCATATGCAAATAAGGACAGAGAGAAGGAAGAAATTGTGATTATGGGGCGCAATGTGGCCAATCACTGTTCTGATGCTGCCACCTGCTGGAGAGCCAGCATCCCACACGGCTATTGAAAGGAATGCGCTGAAATAACACGGGGCAAAGCCCTTCCTGCCCGGTCCCATCCCCTCCCCTCCGTCCTTCAGATCTGGACCTAAAGCTTCCCTGACTCTTCTGATGCCGGGGTTGCTGGGATCAGCATATCTTCTTTAGAAAGACATTTCTCCAAGGCGGGGTAGGACATTTACCTAGTGAGTCACCCTGCCCCGCATTGGGATCAAGAGGGCAGCTATGGGCTGTGCTGTACAAGAAGTCAAAATCTAGTATGTAGCCCGTATACACCACATCATGTTGGCCCACATTGTTTTCTGATAAAGTTCAAATTATTCACCAGTGCTTCAAATGCCAGAGTTCACCTAAAACTGCTGGAGAATCTAAGGATATGGCAACACACAACTACACCCCTCTAGGACAGCAATGCGCCCTCCTGAGCAGCAAGCGTCCCAGAGCCTGAGGAGGCCCTCCTTAGTCCAACACAGCCCCGCTGCTCCCTCTCCCTCTCACTTGGCCCTTGACCCCAGCTCTACGAACGTTGTCATCCCCTGATTCCCTACAGCAAAATCTTACATAGAGCAGGATGGCTGAATAGAGCTAACTAGAGCTGGGTGCGTGAATACAGAAATGCTTTATGCCTTCAAGTAATAATAGTAATTAGTCATCTCCAAGCACTTAGCTTGTGCCAAGTGCAAGGAAAAACATTCTGACCCCAATTTTTTGACCTCGAAGACATTTTCACCCCATTGTCCATTCAGGTCTCACATCTTTGTTCTATTCATTAGCTTTGTTCTCTGCCATGAAATATGAAATCATTGACTCATCTAAATCATCATAAATATTACTTGCAGAAATATCTATACAACTGCTGTTGCTGTGGCTCACTAGGTTAATCCTCCGCCTGTGGCACCGGCATCCCATATGGGTGCAGGGTTCTAGTCCCGGCAGCCCCTTTTCCAGTTCAGCTCTCTGCTGTGGCCCGGGAGGGCAGTAGAGGATGGCCCAAGTACTTGGGCCCCTGAACCCGCATGGGAGACCAGGAAGAAGCACCTGGCTCCTGGCTTTGTATCAGCACAGCTCCGGCTGTGGCGGCCATTTGGGGAGTGAACCATCGGAAGGAAGACCTTTCTCTCTGTCTCTGTCTTTCTCTCTCTCACACGGTCTATAACTCTACCTGTCAAATAAAAAAAAGAAAGAAATACCTATACAAACAAAATTAGCAGTGGCAAAAGCTTCAGGTTGGTAAAATCTGTTATTGACCAAAAAAAAAAAAATAGTATCTTTTAGTTACTATTTGAATTTAAAAGAGAGTCTTGATCTAACAATTCAACTCAGATGAATTGTATTCACTAAAATTAATGATCAAAGGAAAACTGACAATAACAACAGTTATAATCAGTTAAGATGGGTTTAGGAGTACTACAAAGTATTCATTGAAAAAATGGAATTAAAAGATATACACTGAACCAACGGCAAAGGAAAACCTTTCTCTCTGTCTCTCTCTCTCACTGTCCACTCTGCCTGTCAAAAAAAAAAAAAAGATATACATGTCTTCATGAGCATTCTGAAATACTTTCATATATTTAAAATGCTAATTAGGGGCCAGTGTTGTGGTGTAGTGGACTAAGCCTCCACCTACACTGCCGGCATCCCACATGAGCATCAGTTCATGTCCCACATGCTCCTCTTCAGATCCAGCTCTCTGCTATGGCCTTGGAAAGCAGTAGAGGCGCAAGTACTTGATATATATACTTACTAAAATATATTTGCTAACATTTTATTTAGAAATTTTGTATTCATATTCACACACAATCATTGTCTATGACTTCAACAGGTTCATAAAACACTTAAATTACTTATTCTTCACAAATGCAATAAAACTCAATGTGGATCTGTCTAGCCCTATTGTCTTCCTCAATCATAGTACATAATCAGCTTTCTAACTTCTTATATGATAACTGGTACTCACATTTTTCACTTCAGCTTTTCCTTTTGATGATTTATAACTTTACTACGAAATGAACCATTTCATCTATTTTCAAATGCAATGCCAGAGAGGTGCATGTAATACTCCTTTCAATTGTTTAATCCCTCTCCTTTCTAATCCTACACAGTTTGCTCTCTCTCTTCTCTAACCATAGAATCAGAGTTTGAATTCTAGTCTCTGTTTCCAGCCCCAGTCCTCAGGCTGCTGCTACCTACCATACTCCGAGAGGACAATGGAAACTGCATCTATGAATGTGAATCAGGTTGACTGATTTGATGGAAAAATGTAGTCAATTGCCAAATTTTGACAAAGTTTACATTATTCCCATTTTTACTTAAAAATAACTATCCTAGCATTAATAGAGTGAGTGGTAATACTTGGCAAAATCTTGGGGAATTTCAGTTTTCTTCATTTAATAAACAGACTCATTTCCTTCACCCTCAAACCATATTTTGACCAGCACCAATCATTTCCATGGACGAAAGGAAAAATACTCTTTATCTGAGACTCTGGCTGTTATTTAATTCCTGAAAATGGTATTCAAACTAACATGAGATTTCATTCAGTTTAATAAAAAACTACTTAATTAGAAAGAAGCTTTACTACTATCTCTGGAGATATATTAATATCATTAAAAAGAACATATGCTTGAAAGTTGTATGTACATTTATAATTTTGTTCCCTTCTGAATATGAAAGTCTATTTAATTAAGGTTATTACCATCTTTACAGCTTTTTCTCAAAGGAAATGTTCTTCATTCTAAGCTACATAACTTCTTGGAAAAAATATTTTTAAAGAAATCGAAATTCTACAGGAACACATGCTTTAGTTATATTCCAAATACACCCCTCCTTGCTCCCTTATTATATTTCTATAGTGTACTATAGGCCCAGATGGCTCCCCTGTGCTTGCTTGATTTTTCTCGCTGTGACAATTATTTAACCTTTTTTTAATGAGAAACCTAGAAAAAAGAACCAATTCTCCATATAAGTCAAGTGAAAAGAAGGGAGGGGGGGGAGGGAAGGAGGGAGGGAGGGAGGGAGGGAGGGAGGAAGGAAGGAAGGAAGGAAGGAAGGAAGGAAGGAAGGAAGGAAGGAAGGAAGGAAAATGGGGAGGAGGGAGGGAGAGAGAAGGGTGTAGGGCCTGGCAGGAGGGTTGGTGAAAAGTGCACCTGCAACACATTGGACAAGGATGTAGCTTACTGCTCATCTGTTCATTTCACTTTGTAAACATTTTTTTCTGTCCCCATGGTCAACATCCTTCTATTTGTCTTCTGTTCTATTTCCCTTGCAATTCAGAGTTCCATTCTCTCACTTCTCTTATCCTAAATATAATCTGACCTCTGCTAACACTGTTCTCCCAGAGACCACCTCCCCTGTTAGGGGCTGAATTGTGTCCCCACAATATCCACACATTGAAGTACTGATCCCCATTACTTAAGAATGTGACCTTGTTTGCAAATAGGGTGGTTGCAGGTGTAATTATTCAAGATGAGGTCATCTTGACTAATTAGGGTGTAGGGAGAGCCTCTAATCCAATATGACCTTATAAAAAGAGGCAATCTGAACACACAAGACACATGGGGAAAATGCCATGTGAGCCTGAAGGCCAAAATGGTGGTGATGCATCTATAATCCAAGAAACAGTAAAGATGCCAACAAACCACCAGAAGCTAGGTTGGGACATGGAACAGATCCATCCCTCACAGAATTCAGAAGGAACTGACCTTGGTGACACCTTGATCTTGCACTATCAGCCTCCCAAACCGTGAGACAATAAATTTCTGCTGTTGTAGTGATAATGATTTTTTAAAAGACTCAGCTTTTATCAGGCATTTGTGTGCCAAGCAGCCTTCTAAATATGTAGGAACTTCAAAAAATTTGTGTAAAGAGCAGGCATTTGGTCTAGAGGTTAAGATGCTGCTTGGAACACCCACATCCCCTATTCAGTGTGACTGGGTTCAAGTTTCAGCTCCACGTCCAATTCCAGCTCCACTTCTGATTCCACCTTTCTGCTAATGCACACTCTGGGAGAAGGCAGATGATGGCTTAAATGGTTGGGTCTCTGCCATCCACCTCGGAGACCTGGGTTGAGTTCCAAGCTCCCAACTTCAACCTATCCCAGCCCCAGCTGTTGTGGGCATTTGGAGGGTCAATCATTAGATGGAAGCACACCCTCTCTGTCTCTCAAATAAATATTTTTAATTACTCCCTTTTTATTATAATAGGTTGCCAAGGTGTGCTAATTCTACTTACAATATCTATTTAGGTTGCCCTATCCTGCCTGGTGCACCTACCTGAACTATCCCAGTAAATGCCTTTCTCCACATTCCATCCTTCTCCTCCTCCCATCCACCCTACATCCCATCTCCAGCTCCTCCTAAAACACTCATATCTTCAGTCTATGCTCATTGCCTAAAGAATGATATCCAAAATCCTTACAGATGAGGATGCACCAGGATCTAGTCCCAGTCTACCCAATCTCCATGCACCAAACACACTCAGGTTTTCCTGACATGGTTCCACCTGGCATATCCTCTGCAGCTCTAATCCTTTAATCAGAATGCTTCTTGCTATAAAAATATATTCCAGACATTTCACCAGCTGTTGGATACCTCTCCCTCCTTTGAACCCACTTTATGCTCTTATCTACCTGTCTTGACTCATTATCATTCCATGCTCTGTACTTTTTGTTATTTGGCCATGTGTCTAATAATCCTGACCAGACTGAGTTCAGGCCAGGGGGCAGGAGCCATGATTCATCTTAG